CCAGCACCATGGAGACAACGCTCTGTCGTGATCCGTAAGGTTTTCATTGGGTACTTTTCCAAAGCAGATCACCAGGGCTTGCTTTCTGGTCTTTCTCAGTCTGGAAGCTCCACTGAAATCTATCCACCCTGGCGGCCCCTGCTGGCATTTGGTATTTGAAATAGCTTCCAGCCCCACTGCAACGTGCAAGCCCCCACAGCACAACTAATGGTATCGACTTCATGTCACGCTCCTACCAGGCCAATGCCTGGGTGCTATTCCTGTCCTGTTTTTCCAGGCGAGGAAACTGGGCTTCAGACGCCAAGCTCACTCAGCTGCTAAGTGCTAGAGCCAGCACTGAAGTCTACACAGGCTGGCTTCCGGATCTGCCCATGTGGGATAAAAGGCCAGTGTGTGCCTGAGTGTGACTGCCTATGTGGGAACATATCAACAGAGATACACTGGATCAGGACTTAAAAGTACAAACTCTAGAGCCCAACACCTTGTAGGCTTGTCTAAGCTCTGCCACTTACTTGCTGTGTGACTCTGGGAAAATGGCTTCTCCTCTCTGGGCCTCTGTTTCTTGGCCTATAAAATAGTTATGACCTCGTAGGCTTGTTGTGAGAATGAAGAAGGTGAACATGAAGTGCCCTGGAAGAATTTGCTGTTGTTGTTGTCATGTGAACGGCTGGAAGCATGGTTGCTGTTCTGATTCCCTAGTGCCGCTCTGATAAGAATAAACCACAAATGGCATGGCCTTAACAAACAGGAGTTTATTCTCTTACAGTTCAGGAGGCTAGAAGTCCGAGTTCAAAGTGCCAGGCTCTAGGGGCTCGGTGAAAGGCCCTCGACTTTGGGCTTCAGCTCTGCCTCTTGCTCCCGGCCCACTGAAGCTAGAGGCATCTCTTCACTCAGGCAGCTACTGGCTGCTGAGGCTGACAAACCCAAGGTTGACAAATAAAATGGCACAGTTCCGATGTTACCAAACCACACGGCAGGCCATTAATTTAAGTCCATTGTAAGTCCCAAAGTCGGCAGAGCATGGCAGGCTGCTGCACAACGACTCAGCTACATGCAGGCTCCAAGCGTGCCATAAGCTAGAGACCATTCCCCAAGGCTTCTCCTATATACAGGAAGCAGACCACATCCCTAAGGCAGCTACTCAGCTGCTCCCAGTAGATTCCACCATGGAGTTGATTACCAGTCTCATCATGGGGAATACTACATCCAGCTGCCCAGCCACTCACCCAGGCCCAGCCGAGTTGACACACAACCTTAACCACCACAGTTGCCTCTACAGAACACCTGGTGTGTGGGAATGTGTCTCAGACTGCCTTCATCTCCGGGTGTCACGAATGTGCATGCATGTGTGTGTATGTGAACATACGTGTCCATGTGCACCTATATTGAAGGTCTCAGGGTCCCTGTGCGTTTGGGATCCATACAGATGTCCCCGTTTAGTTATAAACCTAAATGCCTGTCCAGGTGTGTGTGAATGTCCTTGTGTGTGTGTGTCCATGTGGGTCCGTGTGTATCTGTCCTGCTGGTCTCAGGTTCCCTGTGTGTTTTGGGGTCCACAGGTTTTCGTCTGGTTATATACCTGACCCCTAAGCTCCTTGTGTGTGTGTGTGTGTGCGTGTGTGCACGTATTCCCTCTTTATATGTGGATGCCCATGATGTAGCTTGCGTGGACGTCTCCTTGTGTGTGTGCGTGGACATGAGTGAGGTGGGTTGTGTGGGTGTCTCCTGTATGTGTGTGGACGTCTCCTTGTGAGTGTGTGGACATGCATGATGTGGGTTGTTAGACGTCTCTTGTGAGTGTGTGGACATGTCCGATGGGCACTAGTAACCATGGGTGGGTTTGTGCATCTCCGAGGAGGTGTGTGTCTGCGAAGCTGTGTCTCCCTATGGCCGAGTGTGTCGCTGTTTGTCGGGGACTATCTGAGAGCACACGTGTGACCTGTGGGCTTGTGAGTGTATGACAGTGGCTGTGTAGATGGTGTGCGGGGGGTTAAGGTCTTCACGCCTCCAGGGTAGGCATGTATGTTGTTCTGATGGTCTCCACGGCAGAGTGGGAGAGGCGATGAGAGGTTTGGATGAGACTGGGGGATCAGGGGTCACTCCCTGCCTGATGCTGGGGCCTAGTCACTGCCCGCTGGTGGCTCCTGTGTCAGCCCCTCGGCCCTGCCCTTTCCTCTCCTCCCCACTGGTGGCAGACAGAGGGGGGTGGAAGGATTTTGTCTGGGGACCTCAGCGTCCCCTCTTGCCCCTCATGTCCCTCCAGCCTTCACTCTGCACCCTTTCCACTACTGGGCTGGGAACTCGGACTTCCGGCAATCCAGAACCACCCCGTCCTCCCACCTTGCCTCCGACCTGCTGTGTGACCTGAGTCAAGCCTTCTGGCTCTCTGGGCCTAGGGGATTCAACAGTTTTAAAAGGCTTGGGGGGCTGTGCCTGGCTCTGGGTTAGAAGGGGAGTGCCTGGGTCTCCAACGTGTGTGACAAAGCTGGAGACATCCTGCCCAGGAAGGATTAACGAATCAGGAATCGTGGCATCAGAAATACAGGACATTTGAACCTGAACCCCATTTCCTAACTGAGTGGTTTGAGATAAGCAACATCACCCCTTAGAACCTAGCTTACCATATAGCCATCCTGTGCTGTCAGAAATTAGTTTACATCGGAGGGGGGTCTATGGAGGAGATCCTGGAGAGAGAGGAAGAACAATGCGGAACAAAACTCAAAATCATTTGGAAAATATAAAAGGGGGGGTGCCGGGTTTGCTGGTCTGATAGAGCCTGGTAGAACCACTGAGACTATGGCCCCTAGCTGCCCTTCAGGTCTGGAATTGAACCCACACCTGTGGCTTCCAGCCAAACAAAAGACAGGCATATGAGCAGAACATTTAACTGAGGTAGACACACTCCTTGGAAGGATCAGTCATGGGACAAAGAAGGGCTGTGTATGCACAGGGAGACAGCTCAGGGGGCAGGAGTGCATGGAGGGATGGACACAGGGAAGAGGTAATTATCGGGAGGAAGTGGGAGGGGAGCTGTTGCATTGGGGTAAATTGTGGTCAATGTCATGAGACAACGTGTATGTGAACTGTTGTATGAAAAGTGAATTTGCTGTGTAAATTTTCACCCAAATCACAATCAAAAAGAAAAAAAAAAAATGAGTTTACAACACAGGCCAGCAGAGCTGCTGTTAGTACAGGACGAGGCCAAGGCCCAGGTTTTCTGGGAAGTTTCACTGAACCAAGCAGCTCTCAGGAATCCGGAGGGAGGTTAACAAGAGCTCTGAGCTGACCATTGAGATGGGATCTTGGGTAAGTCATTTAACCTTTCACTGTGTATCATTTTCCTCTTTTATAAAATGGAAATTTTCGCCCTTACCTTTCAAGCTGTTTTAAGAATTGCAACTGTTTTATTAAAAGGCTTAACACAGGCACTTGTACTTAACCAAAAAAAAGCAAATCCACTTCCATGGAGTTGACTCCAACTCATAGTGACCCCCTTTGGTTGTCCGAGGCAGAAGATCTTTACAGAAGTAGATTGCCCAGTCTTCCTTCCACAGAGTGGCTGGTGGGTTTGAACCGCCAACCTTCCAGTTAGCAGTCAATGCCTCAGGCTCTGCACCACCAGCGCGCCTTGGTGCATGTACTTGTTGTTGTTGTTGTTGTTATGTGCCGTCGAGTCAAACCTGACTCATAGCGACCCCTCCTTGGGTTTCCGAGGCAGTATCACTACGGAAGTAGGATTGCCCAACCTTCCTTCCGAGGAGTGGCTGGTGG